ATATAAGTCCAGATTAAAAAACACGTTTATATATTATCTCTTTAAATTTAACAAATTTTGTTGATGGTCGAAAATTCAAGATGGTCCATCTTCAAAGTCATTGGATGCACTGAGGACTCTCTTTCAAGTAATGTTTGATTTCATTTCCCTATTATTTATAGGTACTGACTTCCAGCACATTTTCTGGAAGTTTTACTTTAATTTAATCAAACTTTTACCATTTTTTGTATAATATTATTTTGAATATATTCTCTTCCCACTCTATTATAGATGGAAAACGAAGACAATTTTCTTGAAAAAATTGTTTAATCTTCCGTTTACAAAAGGTAAGCATCATATCGTAAATTGCAGGGAGGTTAAGGAGATAAAGAAATATTAGAAGGCTAAGGGGGACTCTCTGAAATCATCCTATTATTTTGAGTTAACATTCTGATATTTTATAAAGTATGTTAGATTGAAAACTAATATCAATTTTAAATGAAAATATGTTGATATAAGTTTAATTTTTTTTTCATATTGATATTCATTTAATTTCTTTTATATTAAACTTTAAAATGAGAAGTGACATTAATTGATTATGCTAGCCCCATTCATTTCTTTGACTATGTCATACAAATTTTCGAACATTTAAAATCCGGGGGGAAAAGTGTATTTCATAAAATATGGGGCAAATAGAAAGGCAAATTTGACTTAATTTGGGCAGGTTGAGTTATAACTTGTCATTTAATCCATATTAACTCAAGGAAACTTTAGATAGTCTGAGTCGTAACTCAATTATTGACTGAACTTATTTTGATCTGTTCAATTTTGATTCAACATGCTCATTGATCACATCTAGTCAAGCAATAAAGTGTCAATCTTTATACCCTTATCCTTACATAATACAAAACAAATGAAGTTCTTTCAATAGTACTACTTGTGTATCACATTGCTCCCTTACATAGTACTACTTGTGTATCACATTGCTCCCTTGCCAAAATTAAGATTGATAACCTTAAAGTGTTTACTAGGTATAGTTTAATGATACTCTAGTTTCTGTGTCACATGATTTGTGTGTAACATTTCTCCCTCTTCAAATTAGATTGAAAACATGAAAGTGACTACATGATACTCTAATATTTAAGTTTTAAGCCAAACTTTTAGGTGACATTTGGTGGTTGGCTAAAGTTATGTGAGTATTAATAATATAGAGTTCAAATAAACATGATATATATAATTATTATTAGTTATCATTTTCTACTATGTATAAAATAATATATTATAAATTCCGCTAATTTTAAAGAGAGAGAAACACGAAAGAGACTGCAATATTTAGGAGAATTGTCATGTGTCCTTGACCAGTCTAATATATATGCTAGTTAGATTATGATCTATTTTTGTTTAATATAATCCATCTTTAACTTGTCTGCATTATGTGCCTTGTTTCTTCCACCCATTGGGATTATAACACAAGGTATATATTATTTATACAACTATAAACCAAGAAGTTTTGGCCTTTGTGAATTATCTACCCATCTTTCCATTGCTTCTCCAACTTTGATGATCATAAATTGACAAAACAAACACAACTTGATGGTGGGGCACAAAACAGCCACTTGAGAAATTTAGGCTAAATTTCATAAATAATCACTAAATCATTTTAGGAAAAATTACCTAAATACACATCTTATTTTACCATAATCTCTAAAAAAAATTATCATTTAAATTTTTTTCAAAAATCCCCTCATGATACATCACTCCCCTCTCACTGATACATCCCTATCTCCCTCTCGGATACATCCCTCCCCTCTCTGATACATTCCTTCCCTCACAGATACATCTCTCTCCTCTTTGATACATTCCTCCCCTATGTATCTGGATGTTCTATCCCCTCTTTGATACATCCCTCCCCATTCGGATACATCCCTCCCCTTTCGGATACATCCCTCTCGTATGTATCATAATGTCGGCTGATGTATCCGGAAGTCAAGTGATGTATACGAATTTCATTAATTTTAAGGGATTCTTGTAATTTAGAAAATAGTTGGGAAATAATGTAATTAGCTCTTAACACTATGTGATTTATGTTAATTATACATTATTTTATTTTCACTATTTAATTTAATTTAATTTTCTCATACGAAAATCATAATAAAATTACGATGACTAAAATTGTTACACTAGCACAATATTTTTTTAAAAAAAAACTAATTGGTTACTTCACCGGTCGATAAAAAATGTTTATTTTTAATATTTTTTATTCAATAGGAGAACAAGAGAGGGAAATAATGAGAATTTAAATCATATCTAATTTGTGGGAGACTCCTACTAGTATCACTAGATTGTAACAACCTGTTTGGCCAAACTCCTCGTAGTCAAAAGTGCTTACTCTATTTCTATCAATTTATAAGAACCGTTAGGTCATGAAAATAAAAAGGAAACCTTTAATTATTTGAATTTATCAAAATTGAAGTTGGAGTTAAAATTATGTTTGGTTATACTTTTTGTAATAAATATTTAAAATTAAAATTTATGTTTTTAAAAAAATACATAAAATATTATTAAAACATGAAAAACTATTTAAATGAGGTTATTTTATAAAAGGAAAAGGGTCTGATATACTCCTCAACTTTGCCATTTGGAGATGCTATGCTCTTTATTATGAAAGTGGCTCATAGCCTCATATATACCCTTATACCCCTACCGTTACAAAAATGAGCTCACATATACCCTTCATTTAACGGAAGTGAAAAAATTAGTTTTAAATTTATATTTTTGACTTTTAATTTTCTTAAAAATTATTTAGGGGAATATATGATTCTTCTAGCAAAGTTCAAGGTATATTTTAATCTTTTTCATACATAAATTATTTTTTTTCTTCTTTTATTATAATTATTTGAGTTTCTTTTTCTTATTTTATTTTTTTTCTTTCATTCCTTAGTGTAAAGAAAAAAATTTAAAACTATTTTTTTTGTCTATATTGTAATTTAATTTTTGTATTTGAAGAAAAAAATTTGGTCATCTATAATAAGTTTTACAAGAATATTAGTGAAACATAAATAAATTTGACCATCAAAATAATAAATCTAAATTAGTCATTGAAACAAAAAAAAAGTCAAAAAAAATATGTTTGAGGAGTAGGGGTGTGCACTATTTGGATTAAACCGAAAAACCAAACCAAATCAAACCGAATTGTAATTTGGATGGGTTTTTTGAATTTTTGGTTTGGTTTTGGATCTATAAGTTACTTTGTTTGGTTTATTGGTTTGGTTTCGGATTTAGAAAAATGAAAACCGAAAAACCAAAAAAAACCAAATTATATATATATATATATATATATATAAATTAATAATTACACATATAATATTTAGGTTTACTATGTAGGCCGTAGGGTACTAGTAATTCAGAATTACCGTAATATTTAGGCCCATATCAAATTAATGCCATCCTATTTCACTAAATTTTAGGCATTAGGTTTTACATTATAACTATAAATATCACATATTACTTGCACTTTCATGAAAAAAAATTTAGCTGAACTAGAATTAGCGGCGCTAGTCAACTTTTTTACTTTTGCAGTTTGCTCTTTTTTCTTGCTTTAATTTATTTGTGTGCTATTTGCTTTTGAAATTTTTATCTATTTCTTTCTAAAAAGTTTTTTCATCATATTTAAGGTTTAAGAGATCTTAATTGAAGACATGAGTTGAATTGTTGGTTCAACCTCGATGCGATTTGTGTTTAGTGATAGTACTTTAGAGTTTAGAGTTAGTTTCATTGAAATTATTGATAGTATTGTGTTTTAATGTTTTACTCGTGATTATAATGGAAAAGATATTTAAGAGATTCAATATTATTACTTTTCCTTATATGGAATTTTTATTTTTTAAGCATGCAAATATAACTTTGATTATGTTATTAATTAGTTATGAAATAAGTTATAACCGAATAGCCAAACCGAAAAAAACCAAACCGAAAAGAGAAAAACCGAACCGAACCAAATTTTTTTGATTCGGATTGGGTTATACTTTTTCAAAACCGAAAAATCCAAACCGAATAACACAAAACCGAACCGAAAAACTGAATGCACACCCCTATTGAGGAGGATTAAATATACTGGGATTATATATATATTTTTTAAAATATAATAAAAAATTAAACTAAAATTAATTTTTTTCATTTCCGTTAGAGGAAAAGGGTATATGTGAGTCATTTGTATATAAGTAGGGGTATATATGAGCCACTTTCATAACGAGAGGTATATCAACTCTAAATGACAACGTTGAGAGGTATATTAGACCTTTTTTAGATAAATTTGAAAAAGAATAAATTTATAAAGTAAAAACAGGATTTTGGGTGTATCGCCAAATGAGTCCTTATAAGTGTCTTGTTAGAAAAGTGAAACTTTGAATTTTGTGATATTAAACTAATGATGTATGTAGTGATAAATTGTACACAAATTTTATCAGTATCTCATAAAATTAATCAAATATACACCAACACAAAGTTTTTTTAAACAAAAAAAAAACTCAATCTTTTAACTTCCGTTAGACGAAAATGATAATTCTACATCATCTATATAACGATAAGAATATACACGACGAGTCGGTGTTATATATAATATAACTCTACAAATATTTGTCAAACTTTCGCTCGTCTCTATCTCTCTTTGTAATTCAAGAGAGAAGACAAACTCAATAGTGATTCTCCTTTTTCTCTTCCAAAACACATAGAAAGAGATGGCTATAGACTTTTGCAAAAAAAATTTTAGAATAATGTCAAAACAAAATGTTGAAAAGTCTTAAAATGTCTAGTCAAATGTACAAAAGTCGGTGATGTCTTTCAGTTTTTCAGCCCTCCTTTTTGATTCTTTCTTAAAGTAGTCATAACAGTTCAAAATTCCAAGTCAACTAACGTGTTAAACGGATAAATATACATACAAATATGTGGTGCTAAAAAAAAAAACTATACATAAATGCAAAAGAAAAAAAAAACTATAGTATAGTATACAATATCTTTTTGAGTATGGTATCATTAAATTCTTTGTCAATTCTCTTGATTTCGTATCAAATGGTGATGTTTGGTTCAGTTGTAGCGCAGAATCAAATTCAAAATAATAGTAGTTGTGTCGATGGATTCGAGTGTGGGAATCTTGGAAATGTGAGTTTTCCATTTTCTGTATCTTCACAACCTGATTGTGGATTGTACACTATAGCTTGTGATGTTACTCCCAATCCAACAATTCATCTCGGGGAAAATGTTTATAGTGTTGTGAGACAACGAAGCTTTGATAGTTTTCGAGTTTTAGACCATAGGCTTGAGGAATTATTGACGAGAAACAGTTGTAAAACTTTCGATGGAAGTATATCGTTTCCAAATTCTCCTTCTGTCTCGTTTAGAATCAATGAACGAAATCTTACTTTGTTTAGATGCAATGGCAGTTTAGATATCAACAGAAGCATGAGTGATCATTATTTTCGCGAATATCTGAATTATACTAAATGTAGTGGCTTTAGTATATACTACAAGTATCCTAGTAGAGGACGGGGAAATTCCTCTGATACATCAGAAGAAGATATTCCGGATAACTGTTCTCCGATTCAATTGCCAATTACATGGAATTCAGGATCAAACGTTTCGAAAAGTAGCTTGTTTGATCTCTTAACTGGGAATTTTTCAATTCAGTGGAGCCTGTCTGATGATTGTAGTAGATGTCACTATCAAGGAGGTCGATGTTTAACCGATATCAACAATAGATTTCTTTGTTCCACAGCCACAGGTAATATTTTATTTGTAATATGCTAATTGCCATACAATACTCTGAGCTTTGTCTAATTCTACTTCCAAATAGTTGCTTCTAGTTTTTGTACTTCGAAAAAATGGACTGCATTCTTGAAATTCTGTGATTTTAACTGTATAGCTTGTGAATTCATGACACGGGAAAGAAATTTTAGAAAAGCCGTAATACATAAACAGACACTCAAAACTTAGCTTCAGCTGAGAGGTAAGTACTCCAGCTTCGAGAGTGCACATCTACACACCTCAACTTGGTCTCAACTGGGAACTAAACACTCCAATTCGTCCCTAGTGTGTCTCGTGGGGACTTGATGCTGACATGGCACATAAATATTGGAGATGTGTAGATGATCATTTTGTAAGTTGGAGTTGAACGGAGGAGACGAGTTGAGGTGTCTAGATATGCATACTCAAAGTTGGAGTGTTTACTTGCCAGCTGAGGCCAAGTTTGAGTGTCTGTTTTATGTATTATGCTGATTGAAAATAATGAGACACAAATATTCTGCTTGTTTCCATTGTGTAACGTGGGACAAATCGCCTGCAGGATTTATGTCTGTAGCTTCATCATATTGATCTTGTTCTGAATTTAGTATAGCAGCATAAGCTTGTCATACTTAACTCTCAGTTCCTCCTCCGCGTGCAACAATTATCTAACTTTTTCGCGATTTGGTTTGGTTGCAGTAACAAGAAAGTCGAGACGAGTTCTAATTGTAGGTAACAATCTATAACTTCAAATCTTTTTCATATAACCACATGTTCTCAAGTATGTTCCTTACTTTGAAATGCCAGCTTTCGTCGAATTCTGTCTACTTTTCTGTAGCCATTTTTCAAACAAATTCTGATTAGTTTCTCTGCATTTGCTTCAGTCTTACCTGTGGTGATTGGCTTGACCTTTTCAATCTGTCTTGGTATTGTTATCTGGCATTTCAAGAAAGGAAAAGGCGGTCGTTCTCACTCTTTCACAGGAAATACATTTTCTGATCCTTCAAGAAAAGATCTGGAAGGGGATAGCAAGTACTTTGGAGTCCCCGTCTTCTCCTACTCTACTCTCGACGAAGCCACCAATAATTTTGATCCCTCCCAAGAGCTTGGAGACGGAGGTTTTGGAACTGTATACTATGGTAATAAGCCACGTAAATCAAGTCATGACATTTCGAATCATATTTGGAAAAGCATTAGGCAGAGTTTTGCATTACTGTATTAAGAATGCAATGGTTTGGTAACATGATTCAGCAGCTAACAATGTACTTGTTTTATTAGGTAAACTTCGTGATGGACGAGAAGTTGCAGTGAAACGCCTCTATGAGCAAAGTTCCAAGAGGATGGTGCAATTTAAGAATGAAATTGAAATTCTTACTCGCTTAAGGCACCAGAATCTTGTTATGCTCTATGGTTGCACGTCAAGGCATAGTCGTGAACTCCTCCTGGTTTATGAATACATCCCGAATGGAACAGTTGCTGATCATCTCCATGGAGAGAAAGCTAAGAACGGAGCCCTTATATGGCCTATACGCATGAAGATTGCCATAGAAACTGCTAGTGCTTTAGCTTATCTCCATGCTTCTGACATAATACACCGCGATGTCAAGACTTGTAACATTCTACTTGACAACAATTTCTGTGTCAAAGTTGCAGATTTTGGGCTTTCGCGACTTTTTCCAAATGATGTGACTCATATCTCAACTGCTCCACAGGGGACACCAGGATATGTTGATCCGGATTATCATGCATGCTATCAGCTAACTAGTAAAAGTGATGTGTATAGCTTTGGAGTTGTCCTTATTGAGCTCATATCGTCGCTCCTTGCTGTGGATATAAGAAGGCATAGGGATGAAATTAGTTTGGCTAACTTTGCAGTAAGCAAGATTTTGAAATGTGCATTCGAGGAGTTGATTGATCCATCTCTTGGTTACGAGTCCAATGCTGAAGTTAGGAGAATGACTACTTCAGTTGCAGAGCTAGCTTTTCAATGTCTCCAACTCGAGAAGGAAATGAGACCAACAATGGATGAAGTGTTGGAAATTCTAAAGGCAATTCAGAGTGGTGAGTTTGAAAACCAGAAGAAAGAAGAGATTAACGTCGTTGATAATGTAGAAGTCCCTCAGGACCCTGAATCAGAAAATGATGATGCACAATTGATGAAATCTAAATTACCTGTTTCGACGAATTCTGTGAATGATAAGTGGTTTAGTTGCTCTACCACAGTTAGTATTAGCGGGTGAAATTCCTTCGATATTAAAGCTAACTTCATTACTTTTTAGCTTTCACTCTCTTCTCATTCTTTTTTCGCTCTCTGCTTGTTTATGAGTTCAATACCTAATTGTATCAGAGATGTATTAAAAATAGAGATGCCTTTTTTGTAAGCAAGCCATCACCTTAACGATGTGGGGGGTTAGGCTTGACCCGTAATGTCTATAAACATCCAAAAAGTTATGAAAGAAAAGGGGAAATTTATACTATAAGTCTAATAGAGAACAATGAGGATAAACTAAACAATCTACAGAACGGCTAAAATGACTTAGACTTTCATACTATAAGCAAAATACAATGGTTCAACTAACAAAAACAATTACATTTGTTGTATCTTCTCCTTATGCTAGGGATCGTTGCCACTTATCTAGTAGAAATAGTCCCTTCACCTCTTTAGTGAATTGATGAAAAGAATAGTAGAAGGTACCACTTCCAGTCGAAGAGACCTGTTTAGCAAAGAAGTCAGTTATTTGGTTGGCTTCTCTACAGCAGTGGAAAATATTTACTTCTGTTTCATCCGTGGCCTGGTTAATGTCTCGAATGATTCCTTTCAACTTCAGGTTTCTTGGTTAACTTGTCTTTGATCATGTTGGCCACTACCATAGAATCTAGTTCCAAGTTAACAGATGGGAAACCAGATGATATGATTGCAAAATTGAAGAAAACTTTCAAGATAAGTTAAGTCTCTTTTTAAAAGGCTTCTTTTGCCTTTTATAAAGTAAACTTTGGTGTATAAAAATAGTTTGGGAACATGCCTTGAGAATATAATGAATCCAAAAGTATAATAACGTTTATGGATGCATGATGAAGTCCTCGTTACTTACGAGTACATTACCAAAGAGACAGTAGTTGATCACATTTCATGAAAATGCAGCAAAGTCACTTCCTGACCTGTCTGAATTATAAGACTTGCTATTGAAACTACTAGTCCATTGTCTTATCATTATGCTTTTATTTAAGCCAATCCCGACTAAGCTTATAAGCATCGCTTGGCTTATCTACACATTTGGTAACACTAAAAGTCTGTATTTGGACAGGACTGCAGCAAGGGTGAGGTCCTGGACATCAGTTCACTCTTTGGTTAGCTCTATATAGAAGACTAACAACAGTTGATCGATTGACAAAACGCATATATCAAAGTGTTATTCACTTTAGAGTGCTCTATAATTCTAGTAACAATGGAACTAATTTACCAAAAGTAGTTTATGTGATATCTTAATTAATTCAAAATAATACATACATAATTTGACAAGTCTAGATCATCAAACTTGATCTTTCGAGTCTTGAATCATATAGGTGGTAGTAGGCATGTCACTGTCTGACACTGAAGAAGAATACAAGAAAGGCTTCGGAGGCATTTGCAAAGATTCGAGTTCACCTTGTAACATCTCTATGACCATATTGATAGAAGGCCTGCTGGACGGATCGGTTTGGATGCACCACAGGCTCACTAGTATCATCTTTTCTGCAAGTTTTTTATCCTCTTCCTCCACAATGCCAGTTAATCCAAGCTCTTTCTTTTGTTCAATTTGTTTGTAAATCCAGTGTGGAAAGTATATTTCACTAGTACAATCAACGACAACGTCAGCATTTTTCCTTCCTCCAACCATCTCGAGTACCATCATACCATAGCTGTACACATCTGACTTGTGAGAAACTCCTCCAATGTTTTTATACACAATTTCTGGTGCAATGTAGCCAATAGTCCCTCTTGCACCCAATAAAGACACAATGCTTTCCTTATTGTTACATAGTTTTGCAAGGCCAAAATCGGATATTTTTGGACAAAAGTCTTCATCAAGAAGAATGTTGTGAGGCTTAATATCAAAATGCAGGATTCTAGTATTGCAACCGCGATGCAGATATTCCAATCCTCTAGCAATGCCAAGTGAAATATTGTACAATGTTTGCCATCCTAGTTGACGATTTGTCCCACATTTTGCATCATAAATGAACTTCTCAAGGGATCCATTGGGCATGAAATCATAAATGAGAGCTCTGTGTTGACCTTCAAAACAAAATCCCACAAGTGATACAATATTAATATGAGAAGTCCTACTGATACTTGCTACCTCATTGATAAACTCTTCTCCCCCGCCCTTCGATTCCTTCAAGACCTTGACTGCCACAAGACTTCCGTTATGTAACTTTCCCTTATACACAGAACCATAGCCTCCTTGACCAAGTTTGTTTTTGAAATACTCAGTCATCTTTTTAACTTCAGAATAGCTGTACTTTCTTGGCGCGAGTGATCCATGGTTCTTCAAGAAGGCTTTTACATTTCTGTAATCCTCTCCTTTTGTCTTCCAGGAAATGAAGGAGCATTTTGTTCTTAAGTAGAGGAGTAGGAGAACTAGTATTGCAATTCCTCCAATAGAAGAAGTAACTGCTGCTATCACAAATTGGAAGATTGTTGTCAGTGTTTGAAGTTGCACCAGTTTTGCAGGATTGTATAGCCGCATAATACATGAACGTGCCTTTTAACTTGGTCTCATTTGGAATCTATGCCCTCTAACTTTGGGTATGCACAAGTAGACACTTGAATTTGTATAGAGTTGAACAAGTAGACAAACTCATCCTACGTGACATTTCATATAGGACACATATGTATGTTTATTGCACTCTATACAAATTAAGTGTTTCTTTGTGCACAACCAAAGTTGGAGGGCATAGATGCCAGCTGAGGCCAAGTTAAAAGGAATATTTATGTATTATGACTACTATACTTATCAGCATAATAACATTCCAGTGAAGAAGGTACTCTTTATCTGTGATATGAAATGGAAATTTGTAGCTATAGATGGTTGGTTACCTGCAACTAGAATTCGTTTCGACTTTGTTTTTGCTGCAGCCAAAGAAAATAACAAAAATATTAGATATATAAATATAGGAGTCCAGGTCCAGTATTTTTGTTTATTAACTGCTGTTTGTAAGTAAAATTTACCTTTGGGAGTGGTGGAACAAAGAAATTTGTTATTACTGTCAGTTAAACATTGACCTCCTCCATAGTAGTAACATTTACTACAATCAGCAGACAGACTCCACTGAATTGTATAATTCCCAGCTAAGAGATCAAACAAGCTACTATTCTGATCATTTGGCTGTGGAGTGTTCCATCTAATTGGCAATTGAATCGGAGAACAGTTATCCGGAATATCTTCTTCTGGTGTATCAGAGGAATTTCCCCGTCCTCTACTAGGATACTTGTAGTATATACTAAAGCCACTACATTTAGTATAATTCAGATATTCGCGAAAATAATGATCACTCATGCTTCTGTTGATATCTAAACTGCCATTGCATCTAAACAAAGTAAGATTTCGTTCATTGATTCTGAACGAGATAGAAGGAGAATTTGGAAACGATATACTTCTATCAAAAGTTTCACAACTGTTTCTCGCCAATAATTCCTCAAGCCTATGGTCTAAAACTCGAAAACCATCATAGTTTCGTTGTCCCAGAACACTATAAACATTTTCTCCGAGACGAATTGTTGGATTGGGAGTAACATCACAATCTATAGTGTACAATCCACAATCAGGTTGTGAAGATACAGAAAATGGAAAATTCACGTTTCCAAGATTCCCACACTCGAATTCATCGACACAACTACTATTATTTTGAATTTGATTCTGCGCTACAACTGAACCAAACATCACCATTTGATACGAAATCAAGAGAAATGACAAAGAATTTAGTGATACCATACTCAAATCTCTTACTATAATAATAATAATATTCAAAACTAATGCAAGGAAAGAAGCAGACACATTCAAAAATTATTAGATACTCCTCTATAATCTCTGTCATTTTGTGCATATTTTCTCTTCTTGCCTTTTTCTACACCTTTTAAGATGCTTGTTGACTTAGAATTTTCAGCTTCGACGAATTGAAGGAGAAAGGAGAGCCAAAAACAAGTGGGATGTTGAAACTATGGTATAATCTTGGTGTATGGTCAGCTTGCTTATGTGTAATTCGACTATTTTACTATTCCATCTATCCATTTTTATTTGTCACGTTGTGCTTTTCGAAGGTAATTTTTAAAGTTAAATTAGATTACATTAGTTATATATTTTAAACAAAAAAATTAGATATTCAAAAATTATACGAAAAGTATTATAAGTTGTAATTTTCTGCATATCAATATGATGAAAAAATACATCGTAAAATGTTAGTCAATTTTTTTATAGTTTGACTCTAAAAAAGAATCTTTGATAATTAAAAGTGAACGGGATAGTAGTAAATTTCATGAAAGGTCACTACTATTTCACTACTAATAAAAGTTCGTAGATAATAACAAAATTAAAATAACAAGAAACTATAATGCTACAACTAGTAGAACAACTAATAATAGTATAGAAGAATAAGTCACACAACACTCAACTATCCAATTAATGTCTTATCCTAATTTGTGTACTCTATAGCTTCCCGTCTATGAACAAAAAATCAAATTTATCCCTGAATTATGTGAAACGAAATAAATTTGTCTTCACCTCTTCGGTTAATAGTTGACATCAAATGTATCTTTAACATTATTAGGTAGGATTTATTCTTGAATTATGCGAAAATGGATAAACTTAATTTTATTTTTAACCCGTTTAAAATGAAGGACAAATTTGAACCGTTCATATAGTACAAGGACAAATCTAACCATTTCGCATAATGTAAGGATAAATTTGATCCTTTCACATAGTTCAAGAGTAAAATTTGATCCTTCCTCCTAGTTTTGAGTTTTTAAATTTTTGTGTTCTTTGAATCAAGAACATATCGAAAACCGTCTATGTACCTCTTCTAAGGCAAAAGTTATCTTATAAGGTAGAAATAAGATTTACATATTTTCTACTCTCTTGTAGCCCACTTTTATGTAGAAATAATTCACAAACTAGAGAAAATAAGCTAAAATTAGCTATTTCATATAAGATTTAAGTACATACTCTCTTCATAGCCCCTTTTTACGTACAAATAATTCACAAACTAGAGAAAATAAGCTAAAGTTAGCTAATTCATATATTCATTCGGAGAAGCGTTTTCTATCAAAGATTTTTTCATACTCTAAATTCGACATCACGTATATAACCAAAAAGGAAGGGTGATAACAAAACATCTTACACCCTATTAAGGAAAAACATGAGTTTAAGAATTGCTTTCTAGACGAGGAAATAACTATCACGGAAAATGAGTTGAAAGCCACTTGACTGTAAGGAGGGGAGGGTATGGAAATTCGACTTTGATGGCACGACTAATCAAAATGGGTACGGAGTAGGGGCATTTCTGATTGCACCTGATAAATTTTATTTCGAAGCAATCTCTAGAGTTTTCTTTTATCTGAACAGGTCCACCGAAAGACAGGAATGATCAAAGCGAGACCTCAACTAGCTTCTTGGGAAGCTCGTTCCCACCGCATTTGCTATTACTGAAGCTTTTAAGAAAAAGACTTCTTTTAGTAGCTAGGAGATCTTTAGTTTTAGACATTTTTTTTCCATACAGGGGAGCAACCCATCCAATGCACCACATCCGTATTGTGATATATTTGTTCAATTTGACCCTTCTATATTTGTATAAAATTCAATTTCTTTCCCAAAATGCCCTTTTGGTAATTGATTTTTCGAATTCAGAAGCAAATCAAAACTTTCTTTTTAAGCTTTAGCGCTCTCCTTCTCTCTCTCTCTCTCTCACACACACACACACCCTTTTGACATCCTGTAAATTTCCTTAAAACCCTAGTTTTCTCCCTTTTCCAACATCAATTATCAATTCAAAATCCTTTAGTTAGATCTCTTGGTCCAATTTCCAACTAATTTTTCCAATTTTTGTTAGCGGTAATCCCAAGAAGATGAAAAGACGATCCAATTCTTTGAATTCCGTGAAAAATCTTCATAATTCCCCTCAATTCCTTCTCAAACTTTGATGGGTTTGTGACTTTTCACAGAAAGTTTGATTTTTTAATTGTTTTGTGTGTGTATAAGTTTCCTCTGCCTGTATATTTGCAGACAAGAAAGCTATTTGAATGATACACTGCAAGTAATTTGAAAAAAAAAGAAGGTTCTAGAATTAGGGGAGGAAGAAATTGTGCTTATGGCTGGTTCGAAAATGGAGGGGTCATCAGCTCCAGCTGTAAGGAGAGACCCATATGAGGTATTGTCTGTAGCGAGGGATTCATCTGATCAAGAGATTAAAAGTGCTTACAGAAAGCTTGCACTCAAGTAAGTCATCCTCATGTTACTCGAAAGAGTTTTGTTTTATGGTTATTGTGGTTGGTTTAATTGGGGTTGATCTGTTTGGACAAATTATTTGGTGTTGGAATGTTATAGACTCAAATTGAGCTCTGAAATGGACTTGAATGGATTGGAATGAGTATGTAGGGGATTTAGATTAGTTTTGGATGGAGGCTTAGTTGATTGTTGATTGAAGTTATCCTATCGCTGTCGTAGTGTTTCATGTATGTACTTAAGTGTGGTTATGAGTGAGGTGTAGTTGATTGGGTAATTGAGTTATTGTTGTGAGAATTGTGCATTATGTTCTTACATGTGGTGTACATAAACCGAAATGTGGCGTATTGCTTTGCTATGTATTTAGTTAGACGTATTAAGCATTTTGAGGATATGCTTAGCTCTAGTATGGAACTCATTATTAATTATCCAAGAATTGAAGCTAGTAGTTTGAAGGTTGAAGTGGTGTGAGAATTGAGTAGTAGATAGATGATAGCTATGCTTGTGTAATAGTTTGTTGAAGTTATTTTATTAGAACCTGGAGTTTCTTACATGGAAAGTTTAATTGTGATGGAATGATAGGTTGGGTCATAGAGGGAAGAATGAGTTTTAAGGCTGAAGGTGTAGGGAAGTTTGTTGATTTCTTGCCTGCCTCTATGCATTAGATAAGCTTTTGTTTGATAAAGAGGGGAATTTCTTGATTTGAGATAGTCTCTTATACATTAGTTACTTTAGAAGAAAAAATCTCTTATACAGTAGCCATACACAATCTAAACTATTGGCAGGTATCATCCTGACAAGAATGCTAACAATCCTGAAGCTTCAGAACTATTCAAAGAGGTTGCATATTCCTATGGTGTTCTATCTGATCCAGAAAAAAGGAGGCAATATGATATGGCAGGTTTTGAGGTACTTTGTCCACATCCATTGTCAATTACATAATTTTCATGCAAAGTGGTTTTACTACCTGATTAATGGCTTTAAGTAAATGTCTTTTTAATTATGTTTTGAGCTACTGTATTATGGATTTTTGTAACTGTCTCAAACAAAAATGAAAATGGGTATCTGTTGTTCGATGTTTGACAGAAAACCTTGTGGGCCATTCAAGAAATCAAATAAGATAAACACTAAATGTCCATTGTATCAAAATCATTTAATGAGAAGTCAAAATTACTAAGTTGCTTCTCTGTAATCTATAGACAAGTCCCAAGTACGTGCATTGCACGAATATTGCAACAACTTTAGAAATTTGGACCACATATTCTAATTGTTTTTTTGTTTAAACTATATACCTTACAATAGGAAATATGTTTGAACTTGATTTTATGTAGCATTGTCCTATTGAGATTTAAATGTAGTTGCGTAGTTGTATGTTATGGGATTACATTAGGAGTCTTTGATTTGTATCGTGTATGGATTAGGAAATCTTAAATGATCTATAAGCTCTCTGGATCCATGAGAAGTAGCTAAAGAACAAAACACAATTGAAGAAAAAAGTACCACTAATTAATCTTTTACCTTGTCAAAAACAAATCCTCTAATTGAATTAAGGCTTAGTCATTGTTAGTCTGTCACATTAGGTCTGGCGTTTGTCAGAAGCTTTAGTTTGGTTAGAGATTTGTATGCCAGTATAGAGATAAGTTTGAGATTTAGAGAACTTTTAGTATTAGAGAGCTCTTAGTTGTAGTTAACCCCAATAGCTTTGGGATTGAGGTATAGTTATTGTATCATATTTTTTTCGAATAAAAGAAGTGGAGCAAATGTTTGGTCTCGACTTTTTGGAGCTGAACAAATCCTCTTTTGGTCTGTTTTTTGTGTGGGTGGGTTGGGGGTCTATAGGAAAACTCAGTGGAAGAATTTTAGAAGGTCAAAGATGGACTCAAGCTAATAAATTTGATGACATTGATTATCTTCCATTGCTATTATGAAATATTACAGTAGTTGGATTCTTGTGTTGGTGGTCTTTTCGCAATGACTTCTTTATGTATGCATGGATTTTAAAAGGTGGTTGCTCACACACTGAGGAGTATACATGTACTCTCTCTAGTGGTACATGCATAGTTTCTTTTTTATGCTTTTTTCAACTTTATCCAAATTGTCGTAGTTAATTGTAATAGGTATGATGGGCATGATTTATGTATTAGACAGACTCCCAATTGACAAATACTTGTGGCAACTTTTAACTGATTATAGTTCCTAGATAACTGCTCACAAGCATGTACTATTCGTCTTTCTCTGACATTTGATCTTGAAAATTCTAAGGCTATTGATGCTGAAGGAACAGATATGGAAATTGATTTGTCTAATCTTGGAACTGTCAACACAATGTTTGCAGCATTGTTCAGGTAATCATCATACCAAACTTTGTATTTCTAGTAGATTGTTGGTGTTTGAATTTCCTTATCTCTCTTATAGCAAGTTGGGCGTTCCCATCAAAACGACTGTGTCTGCTA